AATTTGGGCCACATTAAATGTCATGATGGCCTAGAAAAAGATGTGATGGAGGATACAGTTTCCAGGCAAATCTGTGTGAATATTGAAACAAGATATTAAAGATGCATTGGCTATCAAAGCATATAGGGCTGGAGAACTGGCTAGAAAAAGAGAGACCTTTGAGCTTGCCATTAAGAGAGTGATTTTATGTTTAAAAAAATTTTTTTTTAAATCTGCAGACTAATGATAAACTTGATGTTATCTACTTCTTCTTCTTTTCTCTACTCCTGGAATGCCTTGCGGTGTCAGGGTAGGACGAAATCTCTTGAACGGACCCTTCTGTTCGCTTCATATATAGTCATTTTCATTGGCTCTGATTTTTCTGCGATCCATTATCTGCATGGTTGACCTCTGGCTCTGTTACCATTGTATCTGTATAACACTGCTCTATGTGGTGCCTCATCTGATGCCAATCATGGTACATGACCAAACCATTTGATTTGTTGTCTACCTAAAAAAAGTTCAGTATTCGTGATGAGGTCAGAATATCTTGTCCTTATTTTTATTTCCATTAACAGTGCCCTTTTTATGTGGTGACACATTTTTTTTTTTTTTTTGGTTCAGTGGATCAGAGATCATCTGTGCATGCATTACAGATGATGAACTCTAAACAGCACCATTTTTTAAAACTGTTACCAGACTAGCGGTTTTACTTAGAGCTTACCTCTTGCACTTTTTAGCTCTCATGAGCTCTCATGGAGTTTTTAGTATGTGCATATTATACAAAAGACTGCCTATCAAACCTAGGCTCTTAAATGCAAAGTATTCAACCTTTCCTGTTGAGAACCGCGGGATATGCAATCAGTCTTTTTTATTTAATAGAAATAAACATCCACAGCCTTTTCCAATTATCTTCAGAGTCAGAGGTAGGCACGAAAAAAACGTCTCCAGCCCTATCTAGTATCTTCATAGTCAGAGGTAGGCATGAAATAAATGTCTGCAGGCCTATCCAAGTATCTTCAGAGTTAGAGGTAGGCACAAAATAAACCCCCAGGTCTATCTAAGTATCTTCAGAGTCAGAGTTAGACATGAAATAAACGTCTCCAGGCCTATCCAGGTATCTTCAGAGTCAGAGGTAGGCACGAAATAAACGTTTCCAGCCCTATCCAAGTATCTTCTGAGTCAAAGATGGGCATGAAATAAACGTCCCCAGCCCTATCCAAGTGTCAGAGATGGGCACGAAATAAACGCCCCCAGCCCGAACCAAGTATCAGAGATGGACACGAAATAAACGTTCCCAGCCCGAACCAAGTATTAGAGATGGGCACGAAATAAACGTTCCCAGCCTAATCCAAGTATCCTCTGAGTCAGAGGTGGGCACCAGAACGTCTCAGCCAAAGTTCGCCCTGCAATATGGTGCTTAAAAAACACAGTGGTCTGGCAGTGTGTGTGAAACAACAATATAAATATATATCTTCCTTTTTGTTCACCTTTAAAAAGGTGCTGGCACATTGGGATGTAGTTTACTGCTAAACTGCGGTATCTGTGTCTTTCAGCCCAACACATCCGATTTCAGCAAACCTCAATTAATCGCCCTTTTGTAACATGTTTGTTAGGTGATTAGTGTGTCTATTGCTTTTTACTCCTAAAATGGAGAACAGATTTTACAGTGAAAATGGATGAAGAACTAAAAGATTAAATACTTTGAAGCACTAATGGAAAATTGAGCGGTTTTCCTTGCAATAATGAATGTTTTTAAAGCATTTTGAAGGAAATAACAAAATTGATCAATAGCTGCAAATGTTCCCATATAGTATAAGTAACATATTTCGTTATTTTTGTACATTGAACTGGATATTGACTGAAGATGAGATTGCCAAAATTTGAGCATAGCTAACCTCAGACTTTTCTTTGCCATGAAACAAACCCGCAACTTTCAGACCACCAGGCAAATGACTGCCACAGAGATCCCTTATCATTTATCCTGGATGTGGAACTCTGCTATAATTGAGGGTTCTTTGTAACTTTAATAAGCATGCATATCATTTAATTGCATGATTTCATAACTGCAAAGATTAAATTATATATATATATACATACACACACACACATAAAATATCTGGTGTATCTGACTGTCAACATGTTGCTGGTTGATTATTTGAGTTGTAGGAATGCTCCAAATTTGTGTGGAAATTAACTTGATTTGCTCTCGTCATTTAATGCTGCTACTTGCATGGCTATGGTAATTAGGTGTATGTTAAATTTCCATCAATTTGTGAATGTATGATTTCACATATACATGACACATATGCATACATGCTACAGATGTGTGGTTAACTGTGAAGTTGCGTAACTGTGAAACTGCAACAACAAAATGGTATTCATAAATAATGAAGATAGTGAAAATAACAGTATGAAAAAATAGTAATTATAAATAAGTAAATACAGAAAATTATGGTATGCAAGCAGGTTTACAGTTATATTTATTTTTAGCTTTTGATACAACTAAACATTTTTCTCTCTACTGTATACATGGTTACAAAAGGTGTCAAACTGCTGGTTTGAAAACACCTTTTCTTTTATAAATGAACTCTCAAAACATGCATTAATCAAATTATTAATTTTACTAATTGAAATCATAAGTTCAATAATATATTCTGATTACTAATCATGCATTATGTAAATTTAGAATAACTGTAAACCATTTGCAGTACATGTAATTTTTGATGTCACAGTATAGTAATTACACAGACTAGCCAGATTACAGAGAATTATAACAAATGTTCAAGCATCTTAACTGAGGGAGGAATCAAAGTTTTTTTTTTTTTTTTTTAAATAAAATAAATCGTTAAGGCTTTTTTTTTTTTTGTTAAATAAATTTTTTTTTTTTAAACAATCAAAGTTTTTTTTTTTTTTTTAAATAAAATAAATCGTTAAGGCTTTTTTTTTTTTTTTTAGGTTGAAATAATTTTTTGTTTTTAAACAAATGTTCAAGCATCTCAGTTAAGGTAGAAATCTGTTTTTTTTCTGTGTATGCAAAGCGAAGTAATTTAATCTACAAGATAGATTGGTTTGAATTGTGACAGCAGTGTCAGGAACTTAATCATCAGTGAGGTATTAGCTGTATTCATACACAAATAGTAAGTAGCACTTTTGTGCAGAACTTAAATTATATCGTATTTCAGTTTTCATCATGCATATGTACATGTGTGTGCTCACACATGCAGTAACATACTAATTACTATCTTGTTAGTATTAAATGATATTGTGTCCACAATTTATTAAATATCAAATAGTTTTGTGTATTGTTACAGTTTAAATGGTATGAATCAGTGTTGCACATAGTCACATTGTATATGATTGTCTATGTAAAGTGTCGTTCGGATGAACATGTTGAGAAGTTTCAGTTTTTGAAGATACTAAGTAGTCTTCAGAATGTTTTTGTTAGTTAGTTTACACATTAAACAATAAAAAAACACAGTGAACAGAATTAGCCACGCCAGTATATTGCTTTGATTGATCTTAGCAAGGCATTAGATTTGGTTAGTCGAAAAGGTCCAGAAGATTTGATGCCCACCTACCCTACTGAGCATTATTGGTTCCTTCCACACAGGTATGATAAGTACAGTCAACTTTGATGGTGTGATATTGGAGGAGTTTGTAATCAACAATGGATTGAAGCAGAGATGTGTACTTGCTCCTACCCTCTGCAATATACTTATCACTTCTTTTGAAATATGCCTTTCGAGATCAGGAGGGTGGTATTTTCATCCATTCTCAATCGGACGGTAGCCTTTACGGTGCTCATAGGCTGAAGGCCAAAACCAGGATAAGAAAGGTACTTACCAGAGAGCTGCTGTTTGCAGATGGTGCTGCAATTACCACCCATCAGAGGAGGAGCTGCAATGTTGACTGTCTGCTTTTGCTGACGTATTTTGTGAATTTGGACTAACAATCAGCACACCCCCTCCCCTCCCCCCTGCCCGTAAGGTATAAGGCAGCAACAATAAGCAGACTAACAAAAAGAGTTTAGGAGGACAGAAAGGTCACAATTAAAACAAGAACTCTTGTCTATCAGGCTTGTGTTTTCAGCACTCTGCTTTATGGCAGTGAAATTTGGTCAACTTATTCGCATCAGGAGAAACGGCTAAATAGTTTTTACTTGTGATGCCTAAGACGACTACTTAGCATTAACTGGCAGGACAAGATCACAAATACTGAGGTATTACACCAGTCTTTTTTAATGCTCATTCTACGAAGGCTTAGGTGGCTGGGAATATGGAGTATGGCCTTAAGGACATTCTCTATGGTGAATTAAAGATGGGCAGAACATGTCGAGGCCGACCTCTACTTCAATCTAAAAGTGCGTGCAAGCGGGACATGAATGATACAGGTATTGAGGTGGACTCATGTGAACAAAATGCCATGGACCTTGTTGTGTGGAGATGGGCACATCAGGAAGGGAATGAGAGGAAGGGAATGAGAGTAAAGGAAGATATGATTGCAGAAAGGATGAGATCTGAGCATCTGAGAAGAAACACACTAAACACAAATGTTGACAACAAAGGTCCTGAAATCCCATGCTATAATTGTGGGAAGACCTTTTTTAACGTGGGCGGGTCTTGCTAGTCCCACTCACCATCACCGTGGGCTGTGAGTCCAAGGTCTCCTTATAGCACAATATTGAGCTTATAGGGCTAGACCTATATTTTATAGACCAGTCACCACATGGTGGGTGATACGGTCAGCTTCCAGCTGGCTGCCTTTACTTTTTAGGAATTTTGTCTGGAACCCACTTGGCTGAGTCTATCTGAGAGTCAAGATTTAAAAAAAAAAAAAGTCCAGCACCATCCAGATTAGAACCTATGACCTTCAAATCCGCAGACGAGCACCTAGCTGCCACACCATGCCAGTTTGTCATTGCTAGTTGTAAATAAACCAGTGAATTGTTGTAGATTGCCATTTTCTCTATTGCTACGTTGTTGTTTATTTGATTACTTTCCCCGATATCCGTTGTCTAGGTGACAGATTTCGGCTTTGCCAAGCGCGTGAAAGGACGAACCTGGACACTGTGCGGCACCCCTGAGTATCTGGCACCAGAGATTATTCTCAGCAAGGTATGCTGATTTGGCTTTCACGGTCTCTGTTGTCAGAACTGTGGGTTAACACATAATATGCTCTTGTGGATTGAGTAAATCTGGCAGTGAAAAAATAGATAATTTTTCTCTCTCTCATGTTTAGTAGTTTGCCATTGCTCTCTGAATGGTTTGATGCCTATATCCTTGTCAACATCATTTCAAAACAGTCTCCTCCCAAATTATCCACAGCTGACTCCAAACTCTGGAGTATCAGAGTCACGCAACTGCATTCATAACCCCTAAGCCATAGATGCCCTCATGGGTGGCACAGACCCACAGATTCTGGATTTGACAGTTCAGGCCAAGGCTAGTGAGGCATTTTATGAGATAACTGAACCCTGGGAATTGTTCAGCAGTAGGCAAATCTACTTTTCTGTCTTGTCTGCCTGCCTCAGATAGGTCCCACTTCACACAAACCAGGCCTTTTCACTTGTCATTCTCACAGTCTCAGGATAATTGGCAAGATGATTTCTGTAGTTACAACAGTAAAAAGACCCTTTTCCATGCCTTCAGGCATATAGGGCTAGACCTATCTTTTACTGATCCATCAGCACTCAATGGGCCATGTGGTCAACATATTACTGGCTGCCTTTACTTTCAAGGACTTTACCTGATACCCATTTAAGGCTGGGAGTCAAGGTCTTTTTTTTTTTTTTTTTTTTTTTTAAATTTAACTCTTTGAATCCCAAGGAACGCATCATACGTTCATAGGTTCCTACCTAGAAGAAGCCCAATGAACGCATGATGCGCCGATATTATGACTCTTTTTACTACCCCCTGGGCCTGTGATGCTAAACCCCCTGGGACTCAGAGAGTTAAAGTCCGGTTCTGTCAGGACCTTAAGCTTAGATTTTTGGATCTGCAGTCAAGTGTCTAGCCACTACACCATGCTGACTCATTACAACAGTGTATTATGATAAGTGCAAAACATGTTGCTTACTGTCTTAACATATTGTGTTTTTAGATGTCTTGGGATATGTTGTCGGCTCTGCATACTTAAGACACTGGTACAATTGGTATAGTTTGTGAGCAAGTCAGATTTTTGTATGAAAGCCTTTTGTTGTTTAGTACATGATTATGTGGCCTGCAAGAGATTCAGAGTTGTAGTTTTTTTTTTTTTTTAAAATGTGTCCATGCATCCACAAAAGAAAACCTGGAGCCATAGTTCTCAGGCTTGTGTCTGCTGGAAGAACTAATACTTGACTGTAAGCCAGCCCTCATATTCACCAGTGGATTTGAATATAATCAGTGGAGGGAGGGGATTAATTTGACCCAGCAGTAAGAAGTAATTAAACCTAGAACTCACCATGCCTAAAATTGAGTATTGTTAACCTGTCTGCCTAACTCTTTTGAAGTATAGTCTTTTACCTACCTGTGAGAGAGAGAGAGAGAGAAAGAAGGAAAGTTACCACCCCTCCCTCTCTCCAACTCCTGTGTCTCTTTCTGGCTCTGTTTATCTTTCTCTGAGAGAGATGCCATAGAGGCTGGCTCATTGATCCTTTCATTTCCACATTCACTAGCAATGGCCTGGACAGTAAAGCTATCTGGGCTCTTGTAGGTGTCCAGGCTGACCTTTCTGTAGCATTGACTGAGTCTCAGGATGAATTCCTTATTTGACTCTCAGGAAGCAATTCCAAAAGCTGTAAATAGCATCCACTTTCAGTCTGAGTTTTAATTGTCATGTTTGAATATGCTGTACTCTGTACCATGATCTTAAGCAACTATCTCGCTGTTAAATGTTATCTGAATCTCTAACCTTGCTGCACTGATCAGCCAGTGTACACTATTAAATAATTCCTAATTCACCCCCTCCCCCCCTTGTTGTGCCTAATATCCAACTCTGTCCTCCATTTGCGCCATTACCTATGTTCTTTGCCAAATGTTATAAGGACTTAATTATAATGTGCCCTGTATTCGCATGTATGAGTCCATTCTTTGCCCTGTTTCAAATCCATTTCACTTATATGATTGTCTTCTGTGCCAGGGCCATCCCTGACGTGCCTCTCTGGAGTCTTGCTCCATTGCTGTCAGTTATGTTCATATATAAGGGATCTATGATGTCACTTGTGGTCCTTAAATAAACTGAGAGCCAGGTTAACATAATGTGTGCCAGTCTGAGGGGAGGCCAGGCATTTACCTCTTTGTTCAGATTGTATTGAGGTATCCCTAGTGCAGCCCAGTACTGTCTCCCTTCGTTTTAGTTCAGCTATAATCATTCACACTGTGTTGCCGATAGTGTAAGTACACCCAGTTTGTACTCAATAATGGACAGGTACAGATAATGATACAGAAGGTGTAGCAGTCTCTGTTCCATATGAGTGGCTGACATAATTGACTGTTTTCTAGTCTCTGTTTACATTGCGTTGAAGTGTTATCAAAATGCTATTTTTGTTTGACAGGGTATAGTCAAAGGTTATCCTCATATCTCAGCCTGTTATGTTTATCAGTAGTTTGCCTTGCTAAAGACATGTAATTCTTTTCTTCTTCTTCACTACAACCTCTTCGGGGAGCTGCCGTGATGCAGTGGCTAAATGCTCACCTGCAGATCTGAAGGTTGTGGATTCAGGTCCTGATAAAGCCAGACTTTTTTTTCTTCAAAAATGACCTTGGCTTCCAGGTCAACCTAGCCTTAAATGGGTACCTGGGAAGTAATAAAGGCAGCTGGTGTAACACCCACCTAGTGCCAGTTTGTCTAAGAAAAATACAGGTCTAGCCTTATATGTCCAGTGTGCCTCAAAGGTGTGAAAAAAAAGTGTTCTTTTACAACCTCTCTCTCTCTCTCTCTCTCTCTCTCTTTCTTTCTTCTTCTCTCTCTGTCTCTCTCTTCTCTCTCTCTCTCTCTTCTTCTTCTTCTTCTTCTCTCTCTCTCTGTCTCTCTCTCTCTCTCTCTCTCTCTCTCTCTCTCTCTCTCTCTTTTTCAAACTCTCTGTCACTCTTCAATCCAGTGCAGTTTGTCCATACAAGACTGGTATTTTTTTCCCTCAGGGTTACAATAAAGCTGTGGATTGGTGGGCTTTAGGTGTCCTTATTTATGAAATGGCTGCTGGCTACCCACCGTTCTTCGCAGACCAGCCCATTCAGATTTATGAGAAAATTGTATCAGGAAAGGTGAGGACTTGTTGTTTGTTGTCATTCTGGGAGTTCTTAAACATGAAAATATAAGAGTTTTAAACAAGAAAATCTAGGAGTTTTAAACAAGAAAATATAAGCCCGTTTAAAAATAAAATAAAATAACATTGTTCTGCTATATATGGTTCAATGAGTGTTCATTTTTCTGCAGTTATTTTACATCCAGTTTTGCATTATGAAATATGTAAAGTAAAAATGTGCGGAAAGAATGAAAAGTCACCACATTAATTTTGTTATGCAAACAATTGTAAAACAAAGAGTATATTAACTGTGGCTAGTAGCACAAGATGTTGTTCTGTTTACATTTTTACCCTTTGTGTTAACCCTTTCTAAAGTGGCAGCGTGGCCTTATTATTGAAATTCGGATAGCATATTGAAATTATACCTAGATACATAGTAATCGAGAAGCATACGTGAAATTTTAGCTAGGTACTTTGTAATTGGGAGCCGCTGCTGTGTAGCAGCAAGTCGCTCACCTGTGGATCTGAAGGTTGTGGGTTCAAATCCAGACAGTGCTAAACTTTTTTTTAGAGTACGAAGTAAAATTCCTAGGAAGTTAAGGTGACTGGCAGGATGCTGACCACATCATACACCAAGTGCCGATTGATCTATAAAATATATGTCTAGCCCTATATGCCTGAAGATGAGAAAAAGGGTCCTTTACCTTTACTTACTCTACAGCATAATCGAGAAGCATATGTAAAATTATGTCTAGATACAATGTAATCCTGCCTGCAGATCCAAAGGTCTGGGTTCAGGTCTTGCAGAGCCTAATTTTTTTCAGAAATTACCTTGGCTCTCAGGTCGACCCAGCATTAACTGGGTACCTGGTAAAGTTCTGGAAAGCAAAGGTGACTGGCATGATGTTGACGCAATCACTTTTTGAGTGCCAAAAAGCATATGTAAAATTATACCCTAAGTACATCAAAATCGAGCATATGTAAAATTATACCCTAAGTACATCATAATTGAGCATATGTGAAATTATACCAAGGTACATCATAATCAAGAAGCATGTATATAATTATACCTATCTGCATTATAATTGAGAAATATATGTGATGTACCTAGTTATAATTTCACATTCGTTTTTCACTTATAATGTCATCAGGACATTATAATTAAGAAACGTAAGTGAAATTATACATAGGTACATTGTAATCGCAGATGTGAAATAATGCCTAGGTACATCATAATCAAGAAACATAAGTGAAACTATACTTAGGTGTATCATAATCAAGAAACATATGTGATACTACCTAGGTACACCATAATCAAGAAGCATATGTGAAACTGTACCTAGGCACACCATAATCAAGAAGCATATGTGAAACTGTACCTAGGTACACCATAATCAAGAAATGTATGTAAAACTACCTAGGCACACCATAATCAAGAAGCATATGTGAAACTGTACCTAGGCACACCATAATCAAGAAGCATATGTGAAACTGTACCTAGGTACACCATAATCAAGAAATGTATGTAAAACTACCTAGGCACACCATAATCAAGAAGCATATGTGAAACTGTACCTAGGTACACCATAATCAAGAAGCATATGTGAAACTGTACCTAGGCACACCGTAATCAAGAAATGTATGTAAAACTACCTAGGCACACCATAATCAAGAAGCATATGTGAAACTGTACCTAGGTACACCATAATCAAGAAACATACATGAAACTAAATCTAGGTGCATCATAATAAAGAAACGTATGTGAAACTATACCTAGGTACACAAAAATCAAGAAACATTTGTGAAACTATACATAGGTACATCATAATCAAGAAACATGTGAAACTATACCTAGGTACACCATAATCAAGAAACATATGTAAAACTGTACCTAGGTACACCATAATCAAGAAACATATGTGAAACTGTACCTAAGTACACTGTAATAAAAAACATACGTGAAACTATACTTAGGTACAAACATAATCAAGAAACATACGTGAAACTATATTTAGGTGCATCATAATCAAGAAGCATATGTGAAACTGTACCTAGGTACACCATAATCAAGAAACATATGTGAAACTTGCAGCTAGGTTATGGGCAAGGTGTTAATTATAGACCTGCAGTCCACATTGATGGTGAAGAGCTAGAGACAGTTGACCATTTTACCTATCTGGGCTGTACAGTAATTAAGAAGCTATCGCTGGACCAGAAATCAACATCAGGATAGGTAAGGCAGCAACAGCAATGAGAGAACAGAAAGGCCATGATTAAAACAAAAACTCTTGTCTATGAGCCATGTGTTGTCAGCACTCTGCTTTATGCCAGTGAAACTTGGTCAACTTATTTGCATCAGGAGAGATGGCTAAATAGATTTTACATGCAATGCCTAAGAAGAATACTTACAATATCTCTGCATTTGTTAAGGCTGTTTTTTAATTGTCAGGTGCGCTTCCCATCACACTTCAGTTCTGACTTGAAAGATTTGCTTCGCAACTTGCTGCAAGTGGACCTGACAAAGCGTTACGGAAATCTCAAGAATGGTGTTAATGACATCAAAAACCATAAGTGGTTTGCCACCACAGACTGGATTGCAATCTATCAAAGAAAGGTGATTTACATTGCACAGTTTTGACTTTAAATAATCATTGCCAAATTGGTTTTAACATTGTTTCACAGGTGATATTTATAAGTCTGAGAATATACATCGGACAGATTTTAGAGCTGCTTGGTCGGTTGATGCCTAAATTTGTTACATATCCCCAGCCTCAGTCAGTCAGTAGCATGTTCTTTGCAGAACCTTGCTCCCAAAACAACCCTCCGGAAAACTTCTATATCACAAGCAAGATGTCCCATGTTCGAACACCTATCTGGAGATCATCCGCCACATCCTGCCCCCATGTTCTCTTTGGTGTTCCTCTTCCTCTCTTCCCAGGCATATACCCCTCCATTATTGTTCTCTCCAAACTTTTGTGATGTTTCAAATGACCAAAATATTTTAATTTCTCTGTGTTTTATCATCTTTAATAGCCAGCCTTCTTCAATATTCAGTTTTCAAGTATGGATGCATTTGTTCTTTTCTTTACCCATGATATTCTTAAAACCCATCTATAACATTGGTATTCAAAGGCATTTATGCAGTGTTTAGCTTGTTTAGTAAGTCCACGTCTCACAGGCGTATATTGCAATAGGAAACCTAGGAATGCCATATACAAATCTGGCTTTTGGTCACAATTTGAAACATGAGTGAAAGCCACTTGTCAAATATCCTACTGCATGACAAAGCTTGGTTCAAATGTTTTTGACTAAAGGTCCTAGTTAACTATCCATTAGGTGCAAATGTCCATCAGTCGTCGTCTTAGTGAAAATAATATACGTCCAAATTTAAAATGATGGATACAGTAGAAGATGAGGATTTACCCGATAGGAGATAGATGAATCAAGAAATGAACAAGGGGAAAGAAGTAAGTAAGAAGGACTGAATATTAGATGGCCATCCATGTATTTTTAAAAAAAACCCAATCAGTTTTGTATCCTTTACAGAACGTTGCAGAACCATCTCCAGCATTTGTTGCCTGTTGTGGTTTTTCTAGGCACATTTTGCGTTCAAAAGTTTGACATGTATAAAGAGAGTGGTAAAATGTTACATAAAACCTTTTCTACTGTATGGCAGCGAATCTTAGAATGTCAATAAACAAATTAAGAAGAATTTAGTAGCAACAGTGATGTGGTTTCTGAGATGAATGTTACGAATACCTTGGATGGCCAGAGTAACTAACAACTATTGTTTGAAAGAAACTAATGAAAGTAGATCTCTAAATACAACAATAAGAAGGAGACAAGCACTGTTCTTTGGCCACGTAATGAGAAGAGAGGCATTGGAAAACATCATGACAACTAGAAAGAGGGGTGGAGGCAGACCAAGAGAGATGATGCTGGATAGGCTGAAACGATGACCTGGAGGGATATCATCAAGAGAGTTGTTCCAGGCAACCAGGGATCGTGATCTGTGGAGATGCATGAGCACCTACGCCAGTTGTCAGGACACATAATGATGATGAGGGTCCATGTATAATTCTTAAGCCTTTTTAAGTAAAGTTTGTTCATTCGAACAGTAACATAAATGCTATGTCTCCTGCTGTCTTCACCAAAAGAGATGATGCTTACTGATCCAGTGGCACACTGAATGTATTCACATTACTGTACTCTTCTCATCCTTTACTCTCATGTCCTTTCTTTCTGTAAAAGTAAAAAAGTCCCTTTTCCACGCCTTTAGGCATATAGGGCTAGACCTATATTTTTATAGACCAATCGGCACAAGATGGATGATGTGGTAAGCATCACACTGGCTGCCTTTACTTCCCAGGACTGCACCCGGTACCCACTCAAGGCTGGGTCGACCTGGGAGCCAAGACCATTTTTCTGAATCAGTCCGACTCTGCCATGGAGCGAACCCAAGACCTTCCAATCTGCATGCGAGCGTCTAGACGCTACACCATGGCCACTCCTCCTTTCTTTCTGTATCGACACTTTATTCCAGATTCATGCAACCTTACACATGCTGCCTTGCCTAACATATATCTTTCTGTATCGACACTTTATTCTTCTGCAAGCGAACTTACACACGCTGCCTTGCCTAACGAATCTTTCTGTAGACACTTTATCCAGATCTGCATGCGACGCGCCTCTAGTACGACACTTTATTCAGATTCATGGCCACTTTACACACGCTGCCTTGCCTAACATATATCTTTCTGTATCGACACTTTATTCCAGATTCATGCAACCTTACACACGCTGCCTTGCCTAACATATATCTTTCTGTATCGACACTTTATTCCAGATTCATGCAACCTTACACACGCTGCCTTGCCTAACATATATCTTTCTGTATCGACACTTTATTCCAGATTCATGCATACACATGAAATATCTTTCTGTATCGACACTTTATTCCAGATTCATGCAACCTTACACACGCTGCCTTGCCTAACATACATCTTCTTAGCTGATAATAAGAAAGTGCACAAGCATAAAATATCATCTTCTTTGTCCATGCCTTGTGTGCTTGGTAATCAAGTCTATCCACAACACTCTGTCTTGTGTGCTTTCTGTCCTTTCTAAGATTATAATCTTCCTTGCCGTGATGTTGTTCTGCCCAGTATCTTCTCTCTTAATCACCCTCAGCCTCTTTCCCTTTTCTGGTTCCCTTCTGACTTTCCCACCGTCACAATGTATTCCAGTTTTTTTCCCTCATAACATGACCACAGAATGTAGATTGCCTCCTTTTGATATGTATAAGTTTGTGAGTTGATTTTTGCCAAGACATCTTTATTTTGGGGGGGGGGGGGGGGGGGGGGGGGGGGGGCCTCCATGGTGTTCTCATCATCCAGCTATAAAACCATATCTCTGTCACTTCCACATAATTTTTCACTAATCAGTCCATAGATTAATTGTCCATGATTCACTTGTGTACAGCAAGATTTGAATTATATAGCTCTTAAGAACTCTCATGCTTATCCCCATTGGTGAGTAAAGATTACATAGAATATTATTCTGTGTGTGTGTGTGTGTATATATATATATATATATATATATAAATATATATATATATATATATATATGTCCTATATATACACACATATACATCATATATATATAGATTATATATAAGTATGATGCAATATAATATATCTTTCATATATATATATATATAAGTATATCTATATATATATAATATAATATATATATATATAAATATAAAATGTCTAGGCACACACATAACATCAGATTGAAGTTGATGGCAAATCTTTCATTGAGCCTAAGTGCCAGCGGTCACGGCGTCTCGTCATGAGTCACCCGATACATTTGAGGTTTTTCTAATGCCCAGGGGAATTTATTCCATTTCATGCTTTACTCTGTTCATGATTATTGATGACCCCTTTGTATGACTTTATATATTTTGAAATAGTTTTTTTAATGCCAACAAATAATTTTTTTTTTTTTTTTAAATTCATTAATGACCTGCGTAATAAGATTTTTTTTTTTTTTCTCCAGACAATACTACGGGTTCATGACGTTTTTTTTTTTTTAATTTTTTCACTCTGTGAATCCTTTGATGCTAAAGAGATGTAGTTTTCATTAAAAAGATTTTTAATTTCTGGAACAGCATCTGTAAATATTTTGGCAGAGGCTAAGACACAAAAACAACTTATATCCCACTGGAGCAGTGACCTGTAAACCTCAGCTAGCTCACATCCAGCCTTTTTAGACTAGTTTGTTACTGTAATACTCATGTCCTTCATTTATGTTGATTAGTCAGTACACAGTTTCACTTAAAGTTGGCTTTTTCAAAGTCATGTTGGCATCAAATTTCCCCTTAGCCTCGTTGATGGGGGTCACTGAGTTACTGCCTGGGTCAGCCAGCACATATTTTGGTACACCCCTAGGAATGTATTCCATTTAATGCTTCATTCTTTTTATGCTTATGAAATACTACCTTTATATATATATATATATATATAATTATATATATATATATATATATATATATATATATATATATATATATATATATATATATATATATATATATATATATACATATATATATATATGTATATATATGGCTCCACCCTCCTTCCCAACACCAATTTGTTATATATGTAAATACATATTTAAAAAATTTAATTGTGATCTGTCTGAAATTATGGGGTGGGGGGGGGGGGGGGGGGGGGGTTGTTTTCTCCAGAAATTCCCAAGGGTTCATAACCTATTTTTTCTAAAAGTTTTTTTTTTTTTAAAGCATTCTCAGGATGGAACTGAGTTAAAAAAATAATATGCTTCAAACATATTTCTCTCTCTGTTGCAGGTGGAGGCTCCATTTGTGCCAAAAACTAAAGGGGCTGGAGACACGGCCAACTTTGATGATTATGAGGAAGAGCCACTTCGCATTTCTTCTACAGAGAAATGTGCCAAAGAGTTTGCTGACTTTTGATGTGCATGCTGGTGGTCTGACTTAGGTGGACATTTGAGCACACTATTGCCACGACTAATCCCGTTTCATCTGATGTAATGGTCAGAGCCCAGCTGATGAGGGGGGAGTAGTCTGGTTTGTTTTGGGCTTGTCTCTTTTCCTTTTGGTCTTTTTTTTTTTTTTTTCGTTAAACAGTTTTCTTGTATAGGAGCACATTGATGTGGCTGAGTTATAACAGTTCTTTCTCTATTGCTGTGTGATAGGGTGACTGCAGATCTCTATTGCTGTGTGAGGTGTGATAGGGTGGCTGCAGATCTCTATTGCTGTGGGGTAGTGTGGCTACTATTTTCTATTGTTGTGTGAGGTGTGATAGGGTGACTGCAGATCTCTATTGCTGTGGGGTAGAGTGGCTACTATTTTCTATTGCTGTGTGAGGTGTGATAGGGTGGCTGCAGATCTCTATTGCTGTGGGGTAGAGTGGCTACTATTTTCTATTGCTGTGTGAGGTGTGATAGGGTGACTGCAGATCTCTATTGCTGTGGGGTAGAGTGGCTACTATTTTCTATTGCTGTGTGAGGTGTGATAGGGTGACTGCAGATCTCTATTGCTGTGGGGTAGAGTGGCTACTATTTTCTATTGCTGAGTGAGGTGTGATAGGGTGACTGCAGATCTCTATTGCTGTGGGGTATGAGAGAGGGGCTACAGTTCTCTATTGCTGTGTGATAGAGTGGCTACTATTTTCTATTGCAGTGTGAGGTATGATGGGGTAGCTACAGATCTCTATTGTTGCATGAGGTAGGATTTGGGTGGCTACTGTCCTCTATTATTGTGTGAGATATGTCACCTGCTTCAGCCTGATATTGTTTTGTGAGATATGGTGACAATTTCTGTAGTCCGCTATTCCTGAGTTATGACAAGAGTTGCTATAATCCTCTGTTGCTGTGTGAGTTATGACAAGAGTTGCTACAATCCTGTGCTGCTATGTGAGTTGTGGCAAGAGTTGCTACAATCTGTTGCTGTGCAATTTATCACAAGATTTGAGACATTAATGTGCAGCTGTGTGATGTATGACTAGATTTTCTGCAGTCCTTTGCCCTAGATGAAGTATGTCAAGAGTTGCTACAGTCATGTATGGTATCACTTGTGAGAGGTATGACAATAGTTGCTACAGTCCTGTACCTCCCTGTGACATATGATGATAGTTGCTGCAGGCTTCTTCTATCTGGTGCCCAAAGTGTCCCGGCGTGCTGCTAACAAGGATCATAAGAGGGCGGTCTTTTCATGACCATTGCCAGATATCTGTAAAAGAGACGTGCATCCAGTGAAATTAAATCATGTGGCAAAATGTGTATACATGCATACATACATTTTATATGAATATTTATATATACACACACATATATATTTACATATAATTATTCTTCACTGTTATCTATTTCCCAGTATTGTATCTATAAAGGTTCTATGGTTATATCATGATATTCACAGCATCTTTTTACTTGTGGTTAAGAATATATTTATGTTATCATTGGCATTTAAGGAGACACAGATGGGTTTAAGAATATTTGATCCCTATCTTCTCACTGGTCTTAAAAAAGTGTGGGTTTTCCTATTAATTGAAGTGGATGCTGGCTAGAGAGAGATGTTTCACAGAGGTGTTTAGAAATAGCATGTTTGTCGAGAACACCGTCCGTCAGTTGGAGTCCTGGACCATAAAACTGCAAGCTTTATCTTGACAGCTACAAGTGTTGAATAACACTACAGAGTTTTAACTGACCGACAGCAGGCATGAAAATAGATGTGAATTGTTTGAGCTGTTATGTGGATGGCCAGAGTTGATATGTGATAGTTGGTGGTTAGAAGATGTGGAGAGGTGTCATAGAGGAGGACTTACAGACACCAACCAAAAAGAAGGTCAGTCACAGAGGTGAACTGAGCTGGGTGATATCTGCAGCAGTGGACCTCAAGAGCTGGGAATGCAGAGGAAGATACAAGGGTGTGTCAGAGTAGCCTGGTGTGTGCGTGCTGCATTTACAGTCAGCCAATTTATTACTATCATGTTTGTGTTGCAGATTGTCTACACATGAAATGACGTTTAAGAAAAGTTTATGAGAAGGTTGGAAAATATAGTAATTCTGAAATATTTGTTTTGGTGATTATAATTAGTTTTGGTGCACATCAGAAAGAGACAAATAACATCCTTTGGTCATGTGATGAGAAGGAGAAAGCTGGAGTACATTGTGACAGTAGGAAAGTTTAAGGGTGGGAGAGACAGGGGGAGACAGAGAAAAGATGCTTTACAGTTTGACATTATGACATGGCCGATCATTTGTGTCGGAGGGGGGCAGAGTGTGTCATGACGGAAAAGTTAAAGGAGAATAGACCTAGAAGGAGACTAGTAGAGGAGAAGATGGGACAAGTTTGGCATCATTGCATGGAAGAATGTGTGTCAGAAATGATTGACACTACACATGACAGAGGGCTGTGAATAAAGACATAAATTACAAGCTCCATGTGGCAGGGGCTGTGAAGATGATTTTCTGAAACAGAATTATTCTCTCTGTCATTCTTAAGTGCTTCATCATTATCATGTAGTAGGTCTTTTAAAGAATGTCTTTGTCATCACAGTCCCCCTGAAGAAAACTTGGTTCCTCGTCAGCTCTCCCTGCCTCATGCAGACTCCTGCTCCAGCTCTCTCTTATGTCCTCTGAACCCTGTTAGCTGAAACAATGCCTTCCGCTGAAGTTCTGTTGAGTCCACTGATGCATTTGATCTCTTCAGTGTTGGAAACCTAATTTTTTAAAAGTATTTTTTAAAGTGTTTGTAGTACAACAGTTGGAATTATGTTTTTTATGGGGATTCTGTTTTTTTCTGTGTGCATAAATGACACTGTTGTCTGAATATGGCAGTGCATGTTTGGGTATGACAAGTTCTCTCACAGTGACTTTTTTCAGTAACCATGTCATTTAAAATATATACGCACTGGAACCTGTTTGTAGTCAACAATGTGAAATGGGAGAGAGATGATTTTATCAATACTGTTTATGAGAAACTACTGGTAATGGAAATGTTTTAAGAAAGTATGTAATGCACAGATTATTGTGTAATCCTATATGAATGAAATCGGAATTACACTAGCCCGTATGTCAGCATGTTTGTGCAAGTTTATAACACTTGAGGTGAGTTGTGTTGAGTCAAGAATTGACATCACAGCACTCGGGGCATTCCCATGTGTGCTCCCTCCTCATCTTCAGCAGCCAGTGCAGAGTTTTGATACCGATGGTACTGGTCACAGTCTGGTTATATGTCCGTCTTGCCTTTCCTCTGACTGTGTAGTGAGCCATGAAGACCTTTTTTTCCCCATTTCATTTCATTATATAACACTTATCCTTGTGGTAATTTAAATGAAAGAATTTGACTAATCCTTGTGTTAACATAAATAAAAATTAGAATTTGACCAATCCGTTTGTCACCATCAATTAAAGAATTTGACTAATCCTTATGTCAGTGTAAGAGAAAAAGTGAATTTGACTAATCCTTATGTCAGTGTAAGCGAAAAAGAGAATTTGACTAATCCTTATGTAAAATTAAGTGGAATGATGTGTTGACTTCTCATGAACAAAGGGCATGAGTTGAGTTGAGTCAAGAATTGACATCACAGCACTCGGGGCATTCCCATGTGTGCTCCCTCCTCATCTTCAGCAGCCAGCGCAGAGTTCAAATACTGATGGTACCGGTCACAGTCTGGTTATAAGTCCGTCTTGCCTTTCCTCTGAAATGGCATGAGTATCACAGCAATCGTTGTTGTCAACATTTGTGAAGGAAGTATGTATTACAGTAATCCTTGTGTCAACCTATATGGGGAAATGTGTTTTACACTAATCATGGAGTCAACTTTTGTTTAGGGGTATTTATTTCAATAATCCATGTATCAGCACGATTGAAGAAAATGTACAGTGAGCTAACCATAAACCAAAGTGTACATTGTACTAATCCTTGTGCATATATAAATGATAGTGTACATCATTATACTAATCCATAAAGAGGTTGCCAACACATACAGTAAAAATTGTATTTGACTAATCTTGCCTCCAGCATTTGTGCAGACATTATGTATTTACCAAGTGATCCTGTGTTGTAATTTTTTTGTCTTTTTTTTTTTTTCAACATATGTCTGAGTTTTAGCAGTAGAACTCAGAACACTGGCTCGGATATGTTTTAGTACTGACCCCTTGCTCCCAGGCTGACCCAGCCTTAAAGGCTGCTAGGTAAAGTCGTGGGAAGTAAAGGCAACCAGCATGATATTGACCACATCACACACTTGAGTGCTGATTGGTCTATAGTAGAATAAAGGTATAGCACTATATGCCTAATACATTTGAAGGCTGGAGAAAGGGTACTGTACCGAGGCGTGTGTTTGACTTTCTAGCACACTTGCAACAGTGCGATGAAACATAAAGCAGCACCCAGTTTTGGGCCAGAAATGTCTTGACACAGTTTTTCACAAATGGAACCGTATTCATAGAATTGCATATCCATCGTAGAATACTAACATGTTTTGATCATTTCCGAGTGCACGGTAGACTTGTTTTGAGAAAAAAAAGCATCTGTATGTTGTGCTTGCAGGGACACATTCATGGAGTGTTTTGTTTCCATTGTGTGTAGACGTATGAACAGCAGAGGTGGAGGTGTTATAATGCTGTGTTTCTTATGTGTGAATTGAGCTATTGGTGAATATGGTGACGGTTTTTGATGAGTCAAAACAGAAGATGTAAAGTGGGCAGTTGTATCCATCCATGTTTGGAGGAAGAATAGAGGCATACCTCTTAGAGTTAAACAGTACTTGTGGGCTCAGAGGAGTGATAATAGCATACCCTAGAATTGGACTGTACTAGTAAAAGTTCTGAGAAGGTAGGGAAGTGTACCCCTAGACAGACAGTCCTTGGGTTTCAAAGGTAGGAGACCAGCAGCATACCCCAGATTTGTAGAAGGCAAGGTGTACATTTTGAAACACTGTCCTC